GGATACAATGAAAGCAGTCTTATGAGGGAAATTCATAGCAGTGAATACACATATCAGGAAAACAGAGTGAACCCAATTAAACAACCTGATGCTGAACCTCAAGCTTCTAGAAAATGAAGAGCAGGACAAACCCAAAGCTCATACAAGGGAGCAAATTATAAAGATCAGAGCAGAAATCAATGCAATAGAGACTAAGAAAATGATACAAAAAAATCAATGAAGCCAAGAGTTGGTTCTTCGAAAGAATAAACAACATTGACAAAACCTTAGCCAACCTTAGCAGAAAAAGGAAAGAAAATGCCCAAATTCATGCAATTAGGAATGAAAAGGAAGAAATTATAACAAACCCAGCAGAAATCCAGAGGATCATCAACACCTACTTCCAGAACCTATACGCCAATAAGATGGAAAACACAGAAGAAATGGACAGATTCCTAGATACATATGAATTACCAAAGTTGAACGAAGAGGACCCAAAAATTCTAAACAATCCAATATCAACCTATGAAATTGAAAACTTAATTAAAAACTTACCAACTAAGAAAAGCCTGAGTTCTGATGGCTTCACTGATGAATTCTACAAGACATTTGGAGAGGAACTACTGCCACTACTGTTTAAACTCTTCAATGAAACTGAAAGGGAAGCAATGCTCCATATGTTTCTGGAAGCAAGCATCAGCTTGATTCCCAAAGCAGAGAAAGACCCAAACAAAAAAGAGACTCATAGGCCAATCTCACTAATGAACATAGATGCAAAAATCCTTAATAAGATACTGGCAAATAGAATGGAGAAGATCATCAAGAAGATCATACACCCTGACCAAGTGGGATTCATCCCAGGGATGCAGGGATGGTTCAAGCAAATCAATCAATGTAATACACTATATTGATAGAGCCAAGGACAAAAATTATATAATCATTTCAATAGATGGAGAAAAAGTATTTGACAAAATCCAATGTGAATTTATGATAAAAATCCTAAAAAATTGGAATAGACGGTCTCTACCTCAATGTGATAAAAGCCATCTATGAAAAACTAACAGCGAGTAACATACTAAAGGGTCAAAAACTGAAATCCTTCACACTAAAATCAGGATCAAGACAAGGATATCCACTATCACCACTCTTGTGCAAAATAGTTTTGGAAACATTAGCCACAGCAATTAGACAAGAGAAAGAAATAAAAGGAAAAAAGATAGGAAATGACGAAGTCGAATTGTCATTATTTGCAGATGACATGATACTCTAGATAGAAGACCCCAAGAACTCTACCAAAACTCTTATAGACTTAATAACCAAATTCAGTAAAGTAGCTGGATACAAGGTCAACACACAAAAATCAATGGTTTTCCTCTACATGAACAACAGACTCATGGAGACAGAAACAGGGCAAAAAATTCCTTTCACAATAGCATTCAAGAAATATGTAGGATTCAACCTAATAAAAGAAATCAAAGACTGCTGAAAAAAGAGATTGAAGATGGTACCAGAAAATGAAAAGAAATCCCTTGCTGCTGGGTAGGAAGAACTAACACAGTGAAAATGGCCTTACTTCCAAAACTGCTATATAGATTCAATGTAATCCCAATTGAAATTC